CAGCTCAGGTCATGATCTCACAGTTTTGTGAGTTTGAGTCCCGTATCGAATCCCCGCTCAGGACTTTCTCTCTCTCTCTCTCTCTCTCTCTCCCTCCCTCCCACACTCATGCTGTCTCTGTCTCTCTCAAAATAAATAAATGTAAAAAATATAATAATAATAAAGGGAGCCAACGCCTTCGTAAAAGAGGACGGCGGAGCGAATGGGCCCTGGGGACACCTCTGAGAGACTTGGCCCCATTCAGTCGTGTTGGTGAGCTACGTATTCAGCTGTTGATATCGGGGAGGGGGGGCAATCAGCAGCAAACTGGGGGAAATCACGTGTGACCTGTGACCTCAGCCCTCTAGTTACACATCACACGAGTGACCGTGTCACAAAAACACATGCTGAAGGCCAACAGACTGTGGCCATCGTCCCGGTTTTGCAAAGGAGAGCCTGGGGCACGGAGCGGGCAAGTGCCGTGCCCGGGGTTGGTGCCCCATCTGACCAGGAGCCGACCACCATGCTGCACTCACCCGGCGTGTAGCCCCAAGGCTCATAGTAGGAGGGGAAGACCCCCAGGTGGCAGCCACGGACAAATTCCTCATAATCCACGGGGAGCAGGGGGCTCGTGGAGGAGAGGAACTCTGGGTGGAAAATCACCTAGCAGTGAAAAAGAAGAGCTCAGCCCAAACCCCCTGGGATCCCAGAGGGGCCCAGAGAGGGCGAAAAGCCTGTCTAAAGTCACGCAAGTCAGCGGTAGGACAAAGCATTGAATCCAAGTCTGTCCGCTTAAAGTGCTAAGGTCCTTTCTAAACACAGCGATCCCTTAATAAGCCAGGGGAGACGGGGGACGTGAGGCCCAGCTTCCCCTACCTCCACCCCACCCCTCCATGCTTGACCCAGCCTGGCCATTGCCCTCACCTTGACCCTGTCAGCACTACTATTGAAGAGTCCGATTCGACGGATGGTGGTCAGGATAGGATCCGAGGAGTCGTCCAGCATATTGTGGGTGCACACAGGGGGGAAAGACTGTCGCTGCAGGGGCCACAAGAGGGATGGGGGTCAGAGAAGGGACAGAGGGCTCCCTCATTCCCTGTGAGCCACGCTGACCCGGGAGGAGGTCACAATTCCCACCAGGTTGTGGGGACACAAGCCCAAGAGATTAGAAGCTGTAGATATCTGGGGCGCCTGGGGGGCTCAGTAGGTGGAATGGCCGACTCTTGATTTCGGGTCCGGTCATGATCTCACAGTTGGTTCGTGAGTTCGAGCCCCGAGTTGGGTCTCCACTGTCAGTGCAGAGCCTGCTTGGGATTCTCTCTCTCTGCCCCTCCCCTACACTCTCTCTCTCTCTCTCTCAAAATAAATACATAAACTTAAAAAAAGAAAAAAGGACATTGTAGTTTGGCCCAAAGCACATCTCACCTCATCTGTGCAGCGTGGGTACCTAGGTT